ACCGTCTGAATAAATCCAATATCTAGAGATTTTATCTTAAAACCGATTCATTGGATTCCGTTACAGATTTTCATCTTTGACATATTGAATATTAAATGTTCGTATCTCTGATCTTCTGATTGCTGCTGTTCCTTGCTAACAAGAAAATTGAATTTGTTATAATATTTCATATTGAATTATTTATTTGTAAATAATGTTTACTTTTTCTTTTCTAACATGTCGGAACCCCCAATTAATATTTCCTAATAATTTAGTTACAGGATAATGCAACATAATGGAGTACCTATGCCTAAATAAGTTCTAGGCAATAATGATTTCGTAATTTTAATTACTACATGGAAACTAATCTCTAAGTATACTTTAGCGCATCATAAAACTGAACTATACGATTCTTTTTGTAAAATGAGAGAGATGGTACGATACTTAATAGAACTTAAAATAGCCTTTCAGTATTCGGGTGTTACATATATACATAGTACCTTAGAAATTCATGTAGCTATCATTATAATAACTGATAGATTATAATCTATCTAGCGAGGTTGTAACCCATGTACATTAATTATAACAAAAATTCTCGCACATAAACGTATTTTGTGTGAGATAAGTTGAGTGGACGGGTTTTCTAAGGCGACTAAAATGTCACGGTGCAGTGTCTTTTTATTGCATTTTGCGTAATGCAGTTTTATGACACCTAATCATAAAAGCAATCTTTAGTTTTCTTACTATAAAGGTAGATAGACTACCCAAGCAAGCACATAAAGATATCATGCAAAATGAACTGCGATTTACCTTGTAAGTTAAAGGTTTTGTTTACCTTTAAAAGGCAATCTAAGAACCCATCTTACACATGATGGAGAAGAAAAATTCTTTATATTTTTCGCCAAACCCCGGACGGAGGGCGGGTTCCGTGTTGTGATTGATTTTACGCAATATTCGCCGGCCACGTCGCGATCTTTAGGCACTCGCAAAGTAAACTCAATTCAGGAAAAAGGCAACCATGGAGCCGAGGTCCTTTTTGCCTCCATTACTATTAATGCAATAAAAGTTAAAGCAAATATTTGCTTTACTTAATCCAAAATTGAAATGACTTACACTTTAACAACTCATAATTAAAAACATATAATAATACTTTTAAACCGTTTCAGTATTTCCAACGAATACTGTAATATCAAAATCGCATAAGTATAGAATACAATACAAAATGCTTAATAGTAAAGGATGGCAAAAATAATAATATCATTATTAATATTCGAACAAATAAAGCGCGAATCTAAATAGACGTTCTATACAATTGACACTTCCATAGACATTCCTCAAAGGAAGTTATTATGATATTAAGATAACTTATAATTATATTTCAAATTTATCTCGAGATATTTTGCAAGTTGACGACATTTATTTCTCAGTAAACCAAAATTCAAAATGAAGCATGGATAGTCCCTGTGAAAGGCAAAGTTCTGAACTTAATTCCAAATAACGACCTTGAAGTTTTAAACAACTTTAATACTGTATAAATCAAGTTAAAGTTTCAGTAAACGATTATAACGGTTCACTGCGAACTATTATCAATTTTGATTAACGTGTAGCAATTTCCTTTGTGATTTCGATTAACGGTTAACTAGCAAAGCAAACTGGTGCAATGAGAAAGAAATACCCAGTAATATCATTAGGTGCAGCTCTGTTACAGTAGTTCTGCAATCCTACGAGGGCACGTAAAACTTTACGGTCAACCCGACGAACGCGCTGTGATAATCGAATGAAATTCCGCCGTATGTACTCGACCGGGCGGCCGCTATAAAATGTCATGACGAATATTTTCAAATGGCCCACGTAAATGGCAGTTATGGATTCTAGCTTAAACTGTTTTGATGTCAGCCTTTTACCGTCACTTTGGTATAAATTGGTTTAAAGCAGCAAACTAATCCTCTTTGAATGCATGATTTTTTTCTGAAATATTACAGTTTATTTTGTTTTACCACCTAACCATAAGATATACACATGGGTGTAGTTTGGATACGTATCATAAAAGAATTGAATGATGATATTACAAGGACCTTGCAAACACCCATCGTCAACCGGATACAGTAATAGGTGTATAATCTGTAACGTTATGTGCACTATGCGGTTGAACTGCCGCAGTTTCGGTGTCGATAAAATGAAAATTCTTCAAGAGGAAAATTTCTCGAGGTATATAACCTGCGCTAAAGTTGATCGTTTCGTGATACATGTTTAGTTGTTAGCTAACTCTTTGCTTAAATCCGGGAAAGTTTCATAACTCGACTGAGGGGCCGCCCCGAATAAGGTGTTAGGCTCCTGTACTATAAATATTATTTATTGCCTCCTACGAAAGCTCTGGGAATTCGAAACACGAAAACATTCTAGAAGATATCGTTTTATCTATATTCAAGTTATAAAGTTAGGGTAAACTAAAAAGATGTAACTATTAGACATGCAACTTGTCGGTATATCAACGAAAGGGGTTTCTCAAATTCGGTTTATGGATTTACTATTATCGGAAAAGTCAAACATATCAAGTGGAAATAAATTGGTGCTCGTCATGTGGTGTGCAATTTAACTTTTTTTTATTTCGGTCCAATCACACTCCTAACGAGCTCCAGTAAAGCAATTTTGTTCAGTGAATACAGATCACATTTGGAATAATAGGGGTCGAAACTGGAACCATTCCAATCTCTTTGGAGTGATCTGTAGTTTAGCGCCATTTTTGGTATACCATTTGTACTAGTTTAGTATAATTATAATTACTGAAACGTTAATTACAATGTGGTTAATCGTAATTTTTATTTCTTCATGTCAATTACCAATTAGAATTTGTAATCATGATGATAAAATAAGCAACAGCACACGTCTTGGAAAGGTGCGTTACACTAAACCTAATATAGAAACTTAATGAAAACTACGTCACTGCGCCTATGCGTTCTACTTAGTAGAAGAACAAGCATGATGTTATTTTGTGTTAATTTAAAACTGATACTCATAGATCAACGTTTTTGGGATGCACCAGTATTTTACTATGCTATCAATACGTTTTAAAAACATCCTTAAAACAAATTAATAGTAAAGATTGGCACATTTCCATTGGTGATAGGCACCCCATTAAAGAGACTGCAGTGCTATTAGCCTCGGCCAACGTTTTCCCCACAATCTCTTTCGTGTCGACATTTTATTATCGGTAGAGTCAGCTCTGTTGTAATCCCCGGCAAGCGGTACAATTTACGATTTATAAAACCGTCATTTTCTGTTGTAAAGCAAAACGATAAAGAGAAATATTAGGTTGGACTTGGCGATGCTCACCTTGTTTCCCATCACCCTTTTATTTTAATATCCCCTGTTATTAAAAAGTTAATCCGAAAATAATACTAATAGACGGTCACTCTCTGTTATTATATCCTTGTAGCAAACCAAAAAATGGGTACAGTTCCGGTGTATGCGATAACATGACATAAACCAGAACTGACATTTTTGGTTGCTAGATAGTGTTCTGTTAAACTCGAAAACATCCAATCTAGGTTATTTTCACCTACACAAATTACACAGACTCGTTTGTACTAGGTTTTGCGCGTGTTCACATGGGATAAAAATATGTGTTGTACCACAGGGGTACATACTTCTGTTCACCTTCGAATGTCGTGATTTATTGAACCAACTTAGTCACAATGACAATTTTTCCTATTATATTTACCTATATTTATCTATGTGCACATTTTTGAGTATTTATGAATAGATTGCACAAAGTTCGCACACTGCACAATGTATTTTTATACCTCGTGGTATTGCGAATAAAAAACTGTATCATTAGAGTACTACGTTAGACTCATGAAAGTAGGACTCTGAAGCTTTGAGGATAAAACCTTGCTAGAATGTGAAGTGGTAACCGTTGGGAATTCAGCACGTTTGTTGCTAGATGTCACGTGCTCGCTAAAACTATTCTAGCAATGCGCTTAAAAACCACGTGTCTAATGAACACAAACTCGACTTCCTTTTTACTGTAAGTGTCCATAGAATTGTGAACTGATAACATTCATATAACTTAGTTATTTATTTACTCTAAAGACAATGCCCATTTTATCTAACCGCAGGAAGGTAATTTATACTTTTTCAGTGAATAATGTACATCAATTATAATGTAATTGATGCAACTTTAATTTTATACATTATACAATTTTATAAATTAATTACGACCAAAACATACACTAGACCTTTACAATAACTGAAATAGTTTTAAAGTTACGTTATTTGTCAAAAGAATTACCTCACTTTTAATAATCATTATCTGGGTAGTATGCTATCATAATCATTAATTGCATTTTACAGAACATATATTAGTCACAATCAAGTGAGCATGCGTGCAAGTCAAGTTAAACATAGTTTTCTATAGAATAGACTGCGAATGACAGCTCATCTATCGACTGTGAGATTCACAATGGCTCCGCTATGGTACCTCCATTAGTAGTCATTCATACAATACGAAATGATTCTGTACTCTTGTTTTTAGCATTGTGCGTGTAATGACTGGTGATGGTATAAAATGGCGTGGTGGCGACATCAAATGGTTTTTGTGAACACTGTCAGAAACAAAATATCGTTCTCGACATGTTTTAACATTCTGTAGATAAGTAAGCTTAAAATATGTAAATTGCGAACTGTTGCCTGCGATCTCGTTCACGGAGAAACTTCTTTCCCATAGGAATAGTAAGGTATTCAGTGATAAAAACAGCATATATGCTAGTCTAGACTTATTTTTATGAATTTTACCTGGATTCGTTTAACCATATCGCTGTGATTAAATATCAATATCAGTAGTGACACATATTTTATAAGGAGTACTTAAATTATAAAAAAACGATATTATCAAAATTTTGCCTAACGTTATTGGACTTCCAAAATAATTTGCTCTATTACCTTAACAGATCGTTTTAAATCATTTTCGGTGACTACTTAATATCATGAATGGACAAATGCGTAAATAAATAAGTACTTACCATCATGCGAGTCATACATATAAATGATTTCCTTCCATCCATAATACAGTATTGTGTCCACGATAGCTTTATGGTAATCCGGTCGCATGCTCACAGCGTGGTCGATTAGACCCGACGATGGTGGAATGACCTGTGAAACAGAATAGTTTAAGTTGGCATATCGTGGCTCAATTTGTAATAAATAATTAAGTTTTAAAAATTACGTTGATTTGAGAACAGTATAAATTATAGGTGCATATTAAGAGAAACGCAATGAATGAAAAACAACTTCTTTTTTAAATAAACCCATGTATTAAATTGAATATGTAAGGATTCTGTGTAAAAGATAAAAATTGAATCAGAATAGGTTTGTCAGCAAAATCCTTCAAGCACTCGTTGGGAACAGCTGAGTTTGCCATGCTCAGACCATTTATATTCATCAAAGCTAGCAGTGGATCGAGTCAGTCAGTTTTAGTGAGACCAAGTGAAAAACTATGACATTTTCAGTCCCAGTAAACGTTTATTATTATCCACTGTGAGTATAAAGTAAATGTGTATATAGACTGCTTTAATTATGCTCCTATATTTTGAGAGTTGCGACAAAAATGGAAATATAAATTGAAAGCCGCAACATAAATGCGCTGCATTTGATGGACAAATTGGAGAAGAATGAATCTATCATCGGGTGAGAAGTGCATATCACTTGCAATGCGTGAAACCCGATTGGTAAATAAAATTAAGCAATGTTTCCACTTATGAAACATTAAAGATATTTGCAAACAACCTTAGCTACGTGTAATAAATACGCCTTAATAAATACTAGCTTCTAACAGCGACTAACTTATTAAATTGATAATGTAGGTGAATGAACTTTCGTAATATAGGTTTAGTAGTTTTGGAATTACTTGTAAAATTATAAGTGTAGAAATCTCGAGTCTCACTCTTCTAGAATCTACTATACTATTTAACTTACCTTTTAATTAAACAAAACAGAAGTCATTCCCACGGCAACTTGTAGGTAATAAACAGCAAAATGTTTGTGGTTTATTTACTTAGATGATTGGTTATTGTTCTGTTTTTAGTTCAACACTCGAAAATTTTATTCAGTTCGAGAAAAAATACGAATATTTCCAATGAGAATAATGTAGTTATTAACAAATATGAAATAGAGCTATAAAAAAATCTTATATTCATACAAAATATGTTCATACCTTTTCAGGGAACCACGGAGTGACAAAAGGCATTTGGAACGTGTTCGTGTAGGAGTGCAGAGTGTCGAAGGATTCCGGAGTGACCGCACCGAGCATAGCGAACACGCCCCGCGCGAACTGGTTGCATACTGTACAAATAATTTAAATTCTTAAGTATCGCCACGATTTGTTGCAGATATTTCACAATCTACCTTGTTTATAGTTTTCTGATCTTTGATCCCAGTTGCATGACTTCTAACATAGACTTTTATGACATTTCTGGCAGAAATTGGATATTATATTCTAAAGTCGGAGTGGGCCTACTTATCCCTTTCAGTGTTTCTGTGTAAAAGACACGATGCTTTTAAGTATCTACCTAGTACCCAAATATAACAATAACATATTTTATTCGATATCCAGCCTTCGAACTCTGTTTCGCCTCAAAATCTATGACAATATAAACAAAATATCTATAGATACATACATACATAACTTCGCTCTCCCATGGAGGTAGACACGAGACTATGGAACGCCAATTGCTAAGATAACTGCTCACAATCATACATACATACATAAACTGTAAGATGTCATATTGTAAGGTGTTATTAATAAATAAAATGTCAAACTGAGAACCTCCATTTTTATTTTGAAGTCGGTTAAAAAGAAAACATTTTTTGTTAGACACTTCTAAAACGACTCCTGAACTCCCAATGGGTATGAATAAAAAAGTACGATGTTCAAATTTGCTACCAAGTAACGAATAAAACGTTAAAGATGGCTAAAACGGATTAAATAAGACAATTCACTTTATTTTCAAGTTCATTAAATTTAGCTTCTCTGACAGGCTTTTAAAGTAATTGACTTAGGGTGCAATTACAATGGTAGAAGGTGCGCTAGCTGCCTGAGTGTCTATTAATAATAATAATTCTATATAATTTGTTTACATTTTTTATGATTAAGTAGAGGTGCTACTTAATTTTTTTCTTATAAATGTAGTTTTTTATAGTCAGCATTAATAGATATAATTTTCTATTCCTTTTTTTTTAAATTACTTATTTGTAATTCGCGTTGGATTGTCACCTCTGTTACACAGGTACCATAGTTCTTATTCAACAGATCGGCCGCCGGCCGGATTTATGATGTTACCAAGCAGTTGTACCTCTAAATTATACTTAAGGGCACCCTGACATATTTGGTAAAGTTAGATTAATAATATAGTGATCCTTTCACGCGCGAGACGAGCGAGCGTAGCGAGTGTGCATCGTACACTACCTACATCAATAAACCGCCATATGTACAAAAATAAATGAATTAATATACCAAAATATAAATTCTAGAACTAAGTGTAATGTAAGTGCAATAGGAGGAACAGATGCATATGAATTAGCTAAAACTCTAAGTCTGAAGACAATTCTAATTAAGAAGTTTTATATCTCTTAGGTAATGGTTACTAACACATGTAAAGAAAGGCGAGGCTACGACAAATATATTATTTATTCCTGTCTCGCATATTTGTATGCGTTACCAAAAATAATATTACACCATGCCTCAGGGAAGGCTGTAAACAAAAATAAAACAGTTCAAGAAAATTGACATTTACCGTAACATAAAACCCCACAGCGGTGAAGCGTCATCTCTATTTCCATCGAGACGTAATAGATTAACACAATAACAAAAACAAAACGAATTCCCCACGAATTTCGAGAATAATAATGACATTGAAATGGAAATATTCGTATTGAAACACTCTTTATTACATTGGTATTGAATTCTGATTTTTACGCTATGCTGACGATTTTTATGCGTACATATTCAATTACTATTTTTGCGTTGCGCTGTTTATTAATAATTGTATTTAGTAGTTTAGCAATGCATCTGTAAAGTAGGGGATCGCAGTACCTTTTTATTATTTATAGGCTGGCAGCTTAGCGGGTTGCGGGTTTCCGCACGGAACAATACTTTCTTAATTTGAAGAGAAAATTGTTCCGGGTCTGATGTGCAAATGAAATTGTATGTTTGTAAACGCACCCACTATACAAGAAAAAGTACAAGGGTGGGGCAAAGTTAAAAAAAATGTCTTTTAAGTAGGCAGATAGAGTAAATAGAAGTAAAAATGAACACTGAAATAAACCAAATTAAACTATATTTATTTATTTTATTAGTGTAATAGACATTACCTAGTTAGGTAAGGCTAGTATTTATATAGTAAGAAATAACAGACAGCTACATCAATTATCTTTTACAAACAAGCCGTCGAAGGTTATTAATGACAAGATCTAATAAAATAATAATACTCTGTCATTTCGATACAATTTTGGTGCTATTATTCTCTATGTACATTTTTCTTATCTATTAATTAGGTAGGCTGGGTAGTCGTTAGAAATCATTGCGATGTTGTACCATTTATATAAAGTATTTTTTCGTAGAGCGGTACCACAGCGATCTTTAGCGGCATATTTTTATGAAACAAGAAACCGAATACGAGCCAACACACATGCGATTTTGTATCGTGCCCGTTTCCAAATACAAGAATAATTTAATGTAGATGTATACAAGTGTGGGAGAGCCATGCTTCGCCACGAATGGGTCGGCTCGACCGGAGTGATACCACGGCCTCCCTTAAGACCGTCGTGAAACAACGCTTGCGTTGCATTTCTTCGTGTGAGTGAGGTTACAGAAGGCCCAATAACCTCCCCCGCTCCCCTTCTCCAGTCCCTGAATCCCCAACAATCCTCAAATTCCTAATCCCAAAAGGCCGGTAAGGCACTTATAACGCCTCTCGTGTTCCAGGTGTCCATGGACGACGCCGATGCTGCGATGCTTACCATCAGGTAATCCGTCTGCTCGATTACCGGCTTATCCCATAAAAAAAGTTACGCGGTTAAAAACCTGGACGGTTCCATCGATTTTCGGTTGTATCGAGTCGACTTACAAGCAATCACAATTTCGGCAGATCCTTTTCTGAGACTGGCCGTTAGACATGACCATTTTGGCAATCAAATAGTACCTACTTATATAATAAATAATATTCATTATAATCTTCTGGAACAGATTTTTGAGCACAATTTTCCAAAATTTTTATTAAAGCTAAACGACAGTATTAAAGGAGCCTAAATGAATTATCCATAAGGCGCAATTTACTTGTTGAATATCACAACGCCACCTTTTCATTGAAATTTAATAAGTTTATAACCCACAGTTTATTAGCGGTAACTTTATTAAAACGCGGCGCGTCTCCGTTGTTTCATATTTTCTGTGAAATTTTATCGCGACACCGTCCATTAAGGTTAAGACATTGATTGCTTATAATATCTTTTACCACAAAGACTTTTAAATGAAACCTTCAAGAATTATTTCAATGATATTTTAATACAATATTATGATAGAAACAACAACGTGGTTCGTTAGGTCCACGTCTGAATGTGCATTGATTAACTTTGTTGTATTTAATTCCCATGTTCTGGTTGTGTTGTAATTAGTTTCTAGTTGTTTAGTAGATATTTCACACATTTTTATTATTAGTATTAAGATTTTTAAGGAATTACTAACCTAATATTATTAATATTTACATATATTTATTTACAATTCTCTACAATTTACATTTTTAAATACTACTTATAAAATAAAAAAATAATATTTTAAAATATAAAAATAGAGGCCGACCAGTAGCGGGAGCATGGTCCAAGCTACCGGTGGTTAGGGCTCCAGAGACAGAAACCTCCTCACGATTCGTGCCGATACGATGATAATTATTAAATAATTATTATTTCGTTTACAGTGTCCGTCAATAGATGAGCCTGGGGTGATTTATAATAAAATAATGATCTACTAGCAGATATTTAAAACTAATATTTAAATAAAATAATTGTAGCCTGTCTTAAATTCAAAGAATGACACATAGTGCTTGCAAATAATAAAAGTATTGTATTGGCGGGTAGATAAAAAACTTAGTATTGTATATTCAATTAATTCGAGGTTCTTATGAATAACTAAACCTTTCGATAATTGAGTCATTTAGCTTATCTATTGGTATTCTCGAATTTTGCGCTTAGTATTATACTTTGAAATTCAGCTCTACGTAAATAAAAATCTTTAAGTTTACTATAACACACGATACAAGAAAATTATGTGGGTACATCCACTAATGCATTCAAACTACAGTCGACATAACTTACGTAAGCAATTTGTCGTAATCTATGATGGAGCCTTGATTTAATTCATGTCTAGTCAACCAATCACATACATTACACACATAAGACTTAGTAGAATCAAGATGTCTCATGATCACGTTACATGAGGCCGCGTGTAAATCACTTGAATTATCTGATCAAGCCGGAGCTATCGTTTTAACTGAATATTTACCAGACCAGAAATGAATTTTTCAAGCTTTATATTATATTATATGAGATTATATTACTGTAGCATTGTAGCATTTATACGCAAGAAGTATTTTTAAATATGGCTGCAGTTTATATGTTAGTCAACCAAACCAAAAGAGGAGAGGGTACCTGTGTTCTTTCTTAAGGTAAATTCTATCTCTTTACAAAATCTCATCAAAATCGATTCAGTATTTTAGGCGTAAAAGCGTAACAGGCAGAGTGAGATAGGTAGTTTCGCCTTAATAATACTTTAATTATAAATATTAGTAGAGAAGAAGGGATTAAATAATACCTGTGTGTATGTTGAACGAAACTTTTAGGGTATCGTTGAACAATAAAATTAATTTTATATTAACCAATCAATCATTGTTTTTGCTTGAAACATAATTCGCATTCTGACGTTCGAACATGAGGTCAAAGCGTTTCGCAGAACGTCTGTGTAATATGATCAATATTTTGTACAGAACCTATGTTCGCCTGCCTTACTCATCGCTCATTAGCTTATTGACAAGACTTTCTTTGTGATTGATGAGCTGTGTCCATATTGTGAAAGTTCTCTCGTTTATTTCATTTCAAAATAAGAAGAGTCAGACAGGGTCACCGTGGATACGGAAGTGTTCGTCGTTAAAGTAAATAAGGATTGTCTATGGGCGCTCGTTTCCTTTCGCGACTAATTTGCCTTTGTTTCGCCTTTTTAATTTCCGTGTCGGTGTTTTTGTATTGTTCCAAAACCCCAAAAAATATGTTGTTTTTATTATCTAATGTAATTTGTTGGGTCTTTACGAGCGACAATCAGGTGACCGCAGTCGTTTGATTGCGGCTTTGTCACCATGATAACATTCGATACCCTTTTTTATCTTTGATAAGAATATGTTTCAGCCAACTTAAGACAGTTTACTTCTAAATTTTCCTTGTTAGTCTTTGTTCTTCAGTTTTAGTTGAGACAAGTCCTGAAAAGACTTTTTTATCTACGCTTATAAAACGCGTAAGTACCACACAGGGTAGTGAGACACAGGATCCAGAAAGACCTGTCGTGGTAAGATATCGGATAAAAATCATAATGTAACGTCTTTAGTTTATTGAAGATGATTACAAAATATTACGTTTGCAATGATTTAGTTTCTAGCAAATAGAATGTATGTACGCTATCCTGGACATTGTTGTTTATGTTACCTATTATCTATCCTATTATATACACCCTAGCCTGTTTTAAGGTTTAAGACTTAAAAGATTACACAGATTTACAAATAAAACTATCTGCTACTATAGCAAAGGTCAGTAATAGTCCCTAAGGTAGACTATTGAATAACAGACGACAAAGATATTTGTAGAATTCTAATCATGTGACGTATGTACTTCTGGCGCTCCTCTGAAAGACTCCCTCAAGCCTTGAGACAATGCCACCTAGACTTGCAACGTTAAATTATTTTCACGATGAAATTTGAATATGGAAAGTAATATTCGTATCACGTTACTCGTCACTCGCTACTAGCGTGATCGATTTTTTGTCAAATAGAGCACTTTTATTTACTGACAAGAGTTAGTCAACACTTAAAGAATATTTTTTCAGTTTTGTTTACAAGTACAGGGTACATGTCGATTAGAAATTGTATTAATACACGGCGAAATAGCAACAAATAATATTCCTCATCACTACGCTTCCTTAATGCATAGCTGTTTAAATCAGCAGCTGACTTATTTTTTGAGCAAGAGGACTTTGTAATAACCATCTTTTCTACGAGGCTATTGCCAAGATTCGTAAGCCCCGTGTGCCTCACTGACACGCGTCTATTTATTATCTCTCCCGTGAAGAATAATAATATTCGAATTACTGACCGATTACAACGGGACCTCAAGGATGTTAATTTAACTTTATTTTTCCAACTAGCTTCTGCCAGCGGCTTCGCCCGCGATCCCAGGGGGAAAATGCTTCACACCATACTCTACCTCTGTTCCGAATTTCATTCCGGTCCCTTCAGTCGTTTTAATATGACTGAGTAACAAACATACACAAAACATAAGCTCACATATTTTCACATTTATAATATCGAGTCAAGCTAATTTCAGCCATCGGCCCTACAGTTACAGCGTAAAGTCTATGGATGAGTATTGTAAACGTAAGAGTAATCAAATATAAGCAGAAAGCTCCGAACTGCTAAGTTATCTGGAGTTACACGTGTTATTGTAAGTCAACCATAAAAGATAGACATGTGCTGTTGTAAGATATTATTTAGATAATTTTATGTAGAACATTTCCGTCATACATGATTTCTATGCAGCTTTAACTATTAAGCCTGCACACGCGACGGAAGCTTAAAAAATGGAGTAACTTCTCCCGTTTTCCCAATATTTCCCTTCACTGCTCTGCTCCTATTGATCGTAGCGTAATGAAAAGTATACTATAACCTACCCAAGAGTATGAAAAATAATTGTGCCAAATTTCGTTAAAATCCGTCGCGTATTTTTTGTTTCCATAACGAACATACAGACAGACAGACAGACAGACAAAAATTTTACTGATTGCATTTTTGGCATCAGTAGCGATCCCTAACCACCCCTTGATAGTTATTTTTTAAATATATTTTATGTACAGAATTGACCTCTCTACAGATTTATTATAAGTATAGATTACATCCTTTAGCCAATTATGCTTATTTTTGAAAATTCTTCTTTTTTTAATTTAAATGTAATTGAAAACGCCTATTAATCCGTAAAGTAATTGTCCGAGGGATGATTTAGGCAAGGTATTTTTAATAATAGCATCGAACATATTTTCTCCAATAGGTATAAATTTTAAGGCAATCCGTTTATTGAAACTGTTGACATTTCAAAATGGATTTAAATAAAATCGTTCATAAATTATTTGACTTATAAGCAACACTTAATAATTTCCAATAATTACTTACGTCAAAAACAGATTTCAGAGGCGATGAAGTTTTAGTATCCTAAAACTTGTTAAGCTCTGCGCACTGATTATTTAATTTTGATAGACTTTTCTATTTCATCAATTGAAATAAAACAAAATTATTGAGCGACTCTTTTAGATTAACGGTTTGGGTACATTTTAATTATGTGACGACACATAGATCTGCATAGCTCATTAGTTGGAATGTCACAAATATAATTTTCCCAACCGAGGGCTTGAATTCGTATTAAGGAGGTTGTAATTCCGACTAGATTAATAATAACTGTTTTAGCGTGGGCGGTTGAACAAAATGCTATACAAATTTTTAACAAGTATGACTCATGCCTGTCTTAGCATCCTGCCAGTACGCGGGCTAAGTATTAGTACCTTATCCACGCACTGTTTGTTATCTCTTCATGTGAAATTTTACCACATTATTTTTTAAAAGAGGATAATGATCCATTTACTTCTCCCACCTCGTGTGAGATGAGAGGGGATGTCAAAATCTTACTGCATATAAACCACCTGGTTCCTAATTCTGCTCGTCGAGCCGGAGCCCCGGCAACCATTAAGTCTTCCGCGGCTCCGTATCGAGCACCAGCCCTACTGGGCCCCATCTGTGGTGGTGGTGCTGGTGGCAATTAGAGGTGCACGTGGAACGCAACGCGGCGTACGCATGGATCTGGTTCTGATCCAGCGGCCGATCACATCCCTTAGGACTCGGTGGTGCTCAGCCAATACAGGGCAAACCACGACCTTGTGCTCCACCGTGTCGGCGGTCCTCACAGTGATAAGAACATAAGTTAAGCGGTAGTTGAGGACACCGTAGCGTCTCTCAAGCCACTACTCAACGACGAAACTTACCGCTACAATGACGGACGAACTCAATTTTGAGCGTACCTGTCATCGTTAAGTAAGTATTATTTTAGTTAACATCTACTTTTGATATTATGCCGTGAAATTATAAACATAACTTGGTAAAATTATGAAATTGAAATAAGTTGTTGGATAAATACGGATACGTTGAAACGCCAGCTAATTAATGCTTCAATACATCTGTTTTCTCTGTCCAGACAAAGCTGGCAAGCGTCATACAGCGTCCGCTTCAGACCGATAGTGTCATTTATAAGCCGGCGAGTAATTGAATTGATTGGTAGACTCAGGTAGAGATATCAGTTATTAATAGGGATGATGACGAAATATGATGTAAGAACAAAAAGTATTCTAATTTGGATTTTATATCGTAAATAAGTGAACAAGAAATAGGTGCCTAGAAATATTTTATATTAATAAATCCGACGAGAATTGTGTAATTTGAATTGTTCTCGTGATCCAGAAGAATATTCTCCTAGTGTGGACCTATTTTTTTAAATAGTACCTCTATAATAGTTATTTATAAAAACATTTTGCACCCAATTGTCCAGTTTGTCTTGATAATTATGAAATTCTCTGTGAAATCATGAAAGTCAAATGATATAAAGTGTGAGTTACAAGAGAGAACTAAAAGTTCCTTGTTATTGGTGCAAAAGAAACCACAATATAAATTCCATATTAAATAGGGAATAGTTCTGGAATGAAGCTGCAGGCCCTCTTTGGCTTCGTTCATAAAATAATTTATTTCCGTGTTGTGTCAGTTGCACATTATACTCACTTAGTCGAGACAGTTTGAAAGCGTCAGCAGTGTTGATTACATCGACATATGCCTGCAGTTCTAATCGACGGCTGCTTATGTTCTGATTGTGTATGGTCATCGCGTACTTGAAGACATTTTGAATTTCTTCAGTATTCTGGTCGAATATTGCACCTAAAACAAAAAAAAGTTATTATTACATTTATCGGCATCTAAATTAGATGAATAAAACTGCTTGCAATAACGTTAATAATTATGATAATGATAATAAAGATCGAATTTTTAATGACATTAATCCACTTGTGACTGAATAATAAATTATACAAAGTTAAATAAAAAAGACGTTTTATTCATGGTAGAATGTTTCATGTTTACAACAGCGTTAAAAATAAATCGTCCATGTGTACCTGCGTTTTCCGCGTCGATAGTTTATGACAACTGTGGCAGGTGTGCAACCTATCGCCCGCCGGCGGATATTATACATGTTTGAATTTAATACCGGCAGGTCATGTGAAAATGACAGTGAAACGATGCTTTTTGGACGGTGAAACTATATACCAATCATTATTTGAAGAAGTAGCACGGTACTGTTGGTAACTGTGAGTACAACCATGGATAAAACCTAGATAATAATCCATTTCCTGCAGTGGTGCGAAATATTTTATCAAAATACCCTAACTATCACATCAGTATCAAAAGTAACTCTAGCTGTTTTAGGGTTGCACCCGTTTTAAATCACTCGTCTATGAAAATCTCCACAAACAAGAGCCGGAACACTTCATTGGACATCTTTATCGGTCGTACAGTGAAAAAGTGAGAACACCCGTATTCTGAAAGTGTCATCCGTTTGATATATGGTTGCTGACCGAAACGTTTATCTGAATCACTGAAGCCACAGCTCGCCAGCTCCTTTAATACCGTTGGAACACGCAAACCCGGCTTGCTTTACGTGCCCGCATACGATCACTATGTCTTTTTTCGCTCCCGCTGGTCGAACATTATGCCCTAAGAGCCATTCTGAGGTTCCATCTCTAGCAATATTTCTTCTATTTGCAACGTCATTCCTTTCTATACACTGTAAGAATGTTACAAGTAGAAGTTTATGTAATGGAACTGCTGTCTATTAGAACAATGTTATTCTTTAAAGACTTGGTTAATACCCACTTTGTTCTGGCGGATATAAATTTGATAAAGGTCATGTTTTAATATTCTTAATCTTAAGAATGTTTTCGCTAACGCTCGCTGCATTATGGTCGTTACGAGCCTTGTGCGAGTGCTGCAAACCTATGGCGCAGTACCAAACTATGTCATTCACTCCCTAGTTCTGTTAAACTAAGCATAGTTTTGTAGGTACTTGGCTAAATGCGGTCTAGATAGGTTCTTTATTACTTCGATTAATTCATTAAACACAGCGTAATTTCATAAAAATACAAGTAAAACTCATATATTATTTGTTGATTGTTTATAACGTTCAATGTGCAAAGTAAACAATAAAAATACGTCCGACATTCCAAAAGGCTTATATGGCGTACTGATAGCAGTCACATAGCACACCATGTATTTACATAATATAATATTATTGTATTTCGAATCGTCCATCTTATTTAATTTATTTCCAACAGCAATATTTTATCGTAAAACTCTTTTACTTCATTTTTATTAAGAAATAGGTTTTGTTTGTACTTGAAAGTGTCTTACCTGGGTCTGCTACTATAACTTCATTAAAAGAAGATTAAAAGAAACTTTTTCGCCGCTGCAAAAGTATTCTATAGCACAAACGGGCCACGCCACAGTCTGGGATTTTATGAAATGTTAATAGCGAGCTACAATATTGCCACGATGCTGGTGGAATTATTTTTATTATGTTAAGCAGTTAGATATAATTTAACTAAATAAGAACATAATATGTAAGTATGTGCTTCCCTAGGTCTCGTGAAGAAAGAATCAAACGTTTGTACTAATTTTTAATTCGATAGCCAATCACTCTGTATTTATGATAGTTAATTACTGATCCGAACTATATGCTGACTTTTTCAGATATACCTCTATATTACAAAGATTAAATAAAGTGACCAAGTGATGTAATATTCTCTCAATAAATTTCTTTATTGTAGGTACGTTTAAAAAAAGATATATAAAAGATAGCACGGAGTCTGGAATTGTGCCCGGTATATGGCAAAAGGCTCACCCCCTATTACATGGGACTCATAACATAAATTGTGTAAAGTGGCTGTTACATTGTACAGTGCTTGGCATAATGTGCACCTCTGCCTACCCCTTCGGGGATAAAAGGCGTGATGTTATGTTATGTTAAAAAATATATAATATATAATACGTATATACATACGTATGTTAATACGTATTATATATTTTCATGCATGAGGGTGCGGGTCACATCGATGTGACTTTTTCCGAGTTATATACCTCTAGTATTTACGTTCTAAGATTATCTAGACACCACTAACAAACGGTGAAGGAAAACTGGACTTATAATTTCCAATTATAAGTTTGTAATCGCCAACCCGCATTGAGCAAGCGTGGTGTTTAATCAAACCTCCGTGTGAGAAGAGGGTTTGCTCTGCAGTGAGCATTTATAGGCTGTTGATTAATTATATATTTTAATTAATTTTTTAAGAAACAATGTGTGAGTAGTAAAGATACGTAACCTTATCCTACAATTAGGTATGCCCTTTAAGGTACTTAGGTACACATATACTTTTGTCGCAGATTTGATATGTATTGTTTTGACCAAGTTAAAATAGTTGCCGAGGTACTCTGCTAAATTATTGTTATTCATTAATTAATACGAGTATGAATACGATAATTATAATTATGAATGTGATGTCAATCACACATTTCACTCGTGTATTTGAACGAATTTCCATTATTGAATCTACTGTCATTAGCATGTGGATTCATTGTAATTTATTTTCATTGTGAGGCTTACTAGTGTGGCTTCTCTTGTGCTCAATCAAGTATCGTTAAATTCCGTAATTGAACGCGGCCATAAGTGCGATAGGTTTCGATAGCCAACAGTTAGCGTTATGAAAAAATATATTGGTTTAGTAAATCAAACTGATGAAGTTGAAGGCTTTCATATTGATTGCATTTATAAATTGTATTTTCAGTGTTGCGGGTGCCAAGTCAGCCATCTTTCTCACTCTAGTGCTCTTAACTTAATGGAGGGACGATATCATAACATTACGACTAAGCAATATTTTGATCAACAGTGAATTGGGAAAGGAAACAAAGTCTGTTTGGTCAAGACCCATCAAATCGTTGAGTCAGGGTTATTGATTATAATTGATTATCAAATTTGTTAAGCACGTTAATGAGAATACTTTAAAGGTATCCCATAACCTTTATTTAAACTGTCAAACACCAAGCGGTCACCGGTGACCGCAACCTATTGTTCTATAATTGTGTCTACAAAACCGGTACTCGACGAGTTAAGAACTAGCTTCTGCCAGCGGCTTCGTTCGCGTCTGCAGGGGAAAATATATCCTTATTTATACTTTCTGATAACTGTTGGAATCTTGTAGATCATCTGGTGCCATTTGATTCTCGACTTCAGTAACACCCAGTATAACATGTGTAGTGATAACGGGAAGTTAACAGAAATTATAACACTGGCCTCTAAACCGGGCGTTCCTCTAGTCCATGATATAATATAACAAAATTAATATATAATGTTCATATCATTATTATTAACCCTTTGAGTACCGTCATTATAGACTCAATTAAAGAACAATAGGTTGCGGTCACCAGTGTCCTCGCGGTGTTTGACTGTTTAGTGTATCGTGATAAATTTCGGTTGGCATTTCTATATGTATAATAATAATTTTATATACTATTTCTTGAATTAGTACTTCTGAACACTTTAAATTGTTGAATTCTTTTCACTGGAACCCGGACCCGGTGGTAAGCGTGAGTAGAAATCCCGTGACCGCCAGGTGGGCATACTTTACATTTAATTGCTTTTTTCTACAAAAATATTTAAGTGTACTCAAGTTTAAATATAAAGAAGGAAATAATAATATTAAATACACATTACACAGATGTACTGAATTACCACTAAAATAAACACAATGTAGATAAGTTTTAAGTTGCAAGGGAGACCCAAGAAGCCACTGTAAAACGGGAAGAAGCCTTAGAAACCGGGTGTAGTCCTGACCGAGCTGGTTAAAGGTTAACGGTCTCAAATAATTTGTTTATTATAACTGTATACTTTTCCAGATAATTTTATAGTAAGCATATACATAGAACAGACAATAATATAGAAAATATACATTATTTAAGGCACATTCGTTAGTACTTTAGGGCCGTGGGGCCCAAGTGCTAACTTCTTTACAAAGATATTATACCATACTAGTGGACCTCGCAAAGCCTATTTATACCTTTTGCAAATATTTGTCATGGATTTGGCAGGTACTTCTTTTGTTATCAAAAAATCTAATAGATAATACCTCTATATAGGTACGTACGTTTAATACGTATAACTGCATGTATGTGGGTATGTATTTTTGTATCTATTACTACATACTTATATAATTTTCTATGTGATAACAGTACATTTGTAAACTACTTGAATTATGTAACGTTCCCGTGTAAAATATATTATACAATAAAAGTATTTTATTAACTTCTTTTATCGACTTTTTCTGCTATTCAAGATGGACCAAAACTAGATCCTAAGCAGTGATGTAAATAACAACACTAATTTCTAATCACATACAATTAGGTACGTTCTATACAAAGTGATTGCAATATGGCCTCTATACTACGAATGATATGAGTTTCCTGGCTATCCGTTATCAAGTTTTACTGCAGCCATAAATGTTAGTGCCTAGGACCTGCTATGATATTTTTGACGACTTTACGTGCTCTCCATCTAGTCCATTTGCAACATAACCATAATAAGTTGTCCTTCAAATCGTTCCCTGTAACTTTGGTTAACTGCCAGTGTTAGCACTATATAAATATTTAGGTATTTAAGCGCATTGATCTCACAGCTGATGGAATGTTGTATGTGATGTTGAATTCAGTCTTAAGATCACCGTTAATAATATTTTGTAAATGTTGAAAGCCTTAGCAATAGTATTGTCGGAAATCACGCTTAGAAATCAAACCCAGCCTACTACAGTCGGCGAGGATCGCCCTGAGGACACGGTGGA